TTGCTGGCAAGCTTGATGACCTGGGTTTGATCCCCACCCAGGTCATGTGATGAAGTGAAGTGACTCCTGAAAGTTATCCCCTGACCTCCACACCTGCACACCATGACACTTGTATGTCCCTGCCATGATAGGTAAGTAAATGAAGAAGAAAGTGTCTAAGAGAACAGAGCAAGTTCCTCCATCTCTTATGCCGCAGCTTTTAAGTCTACCATACAGGCCACATCCTTGCTTGCTAAGGGTGGTGATAGCCTTCTAGGATGGAGATGCATCTTTCGATAGAGTCAGATTCTTGGTCTGCTTTACAGTCCTCGGTGACCCCATTTCTGGAGCGAGCCAAGCCAAAGAGGAAACAAGGAATCTCTCTTCCTCTCTACCATCCAGCCATTTGGCAGGGTGCTAGAGTTCACTTGAGAGAGCAACATGGCTGCAGTGGCTGGTGGCCAGGCTTTGCAGGAGGCCGCTGAGAGCCAGGCTGGCCCTCCAGTCAGGAGCAGTAAGCTTCTGTGTTCTCCTGGCCAGCTCTAGTCCCAGCTTCCCTGGAGCTTGCGGCCATTCATTGCATCATTCAGTTTAAGCTGTCATCTTGTTCTCCTCTCTGCTCACATGAGCTCTGAATGCCACATCCCTCGCACCTTTTCCTCTCTGAAGCCCTAGCAAGTGGTTCATTCATTTTTTCATTCTCTCATCTCCCCTTCCCTTCCTCATAGACACACTTGTGCAGACAAACACCACACGCACACTGATAGTCCTCTGTCAACATCCTCGCTCTAATTTTTGAGAAAAAGCAGCCAGGAGTCTCCATGATATTCTGAAGAACCAAATCCTCCACCCACCTTCCAACTCCTCAGGAGGTCTTCCTCTTGGAAAATATCTGAAAAAGATACATCACTTATTCTCTAATAGGGGTTGAGGGGTGATGTCCCTCTAGGGTCCCAGTGAAGCTGTGCAAGACAGGGGCAAGGAATCTCACGGCCCGTTCTTGCTATAAAAAGGCCTTTTTCGGAAAAAATAAAGAAAGGAATCAGCCAATCCCTTCTCGATGCCATCACCTCTTCTTGGTGATTTTTCGGGGAAGGAGTGGGTGGGTTTCCATGGCAACAGATGCGAGCTCTGCTCAGTAAAGAAGGGACCTTGATATTTTTTCTCTCTCATTCTCTCAGTTGTGTGTGTGTCTCTGTGTGTATGTGCGTGCTACACATGCCTGTGCCCACACCAGCAATTTTTTTTAGAACTAAAGAAAGCCCTTCTCTCAGCTCCCCAAATATGGAGTGATGAAAAACCATGTACTCCTGCAGGCCAGAGAAGATTCGGGATGGTTCCAGAGGAAGGGGAGTGTTCCTATGAAGTTGTTTTTCTCCACTGCAGAGACTGCATGCAGCAGAGAGGCCTTCGCAAATGATTAGAGGCTGAGAGTTAGAAAGAGAGATGCTTGGTGGTGAGGGATGGGCAAAGGGTAGATGATGCAAAACAACAAAACATGGTATCAGAGTGGGCAAGGGAAGCTGCAAAGGGTCTCCGGAAGCACGCAGTCTATGCAAACCATCTAATTCTGTGAGGAAAGGCCCAGGGCCAACTCAGATATGGACACAGACACACAGAGAGCTGCAAAACAAGTAAATGTAAGCACAAAATACAAAACTGCATGCAATACAGGAAGGTAGAGACTTAGAAAAACACAGACAGATTAAAAAATGCAAATGCAGGTACCAGCAAATGTGTAGACATGCAAGAATGCAGACCCCAGCTACAAAACACATGCAAACAGATACATGGATGCAGATAGACAAGTGTGTTCAGACAGACAGGCTTGGATGCAGACACAGAACATGCAACACAGCTTCAGTCAAGTACACACACACACACACACAGAACATACACACACACACACACATCTCCCCTTCAATTGCTCAAGCATCCTATTGCAGGAGAGCAGAGCTGCAAATGCTGCATGCTCACCCAGTAAGTGCTGGGAGTCTCTTATACACCCCCACCTTTTCCTTCTACACACACACAGAGAGAGAGAGAGAGAGAGAGAGAGAGAGAGAGAGAGAGAGAGAGACCCCAAAGCCCCTTTCCCAACTCACTCCTTGCCCACTTTCCCATAACCAAAGATTGTGATGCCTCCCCCATCTCAGACTTCCAATTCTGTTCTGCTGCTGCTGCTGCTGCCTGCCGCTTGGGGGGTAGAGAGTGGGGTGACTCAGCCAGGCCAGGATGACTCACACTGACAGTATTTTTAGCAGCGGCCAGGAGCTCTCTAGCGTGCCAGCCGCCCCCTCCTCCTGCCTGCTATTTCAGAACCGTCACTGGTGATATAAATAGCTCTTCTCCCACGGCCTGAAGCGGCTGCCAGGCTATTTTTGGTTCTGCACAGTTAAAAATAGTTTCATGGAGGTGGGAGGCAAGAGGAGAGGGAACTGGCCTAGGGAGAGGAGACATTGGGGGCACACAGAGCTTCTCTACTTGAATCAGAGTAGTCAAACTAGGATGATCCCTCCTCCACCCCTCCCTCGTTCCTTTCTAGACCCTTCTCCCATTCCAAAGTTCTTTATCCCTAGTCCATTCTCCTGGAAAAATCCAAGGATTCTTCCCTTGAGCCTAACTCTCTTAAGCCTAGTTTAACTATTTCCTAGAGCCCAGGAGTCTTGACCCCCCCCCATCCCTGTAAAAAGCCCATATATATTTTCAGGAAAGAGGATGGCATCTGCGTCCTGCCACCCTGGTCTATCCTGAGGCCCACCTCTGCTTTGATTTAACTGGCAGGCCGTGGCCAATCTGATTGGCAAGGCAATATTCAGCACCACGGACAGTGGCCACCATTCCGGCGCTATCACAGCCGGGCTGCTCGAACTGCTTGAGAGGGAGACTAGCTGGACCCCGGAGAGAGACACAACTTAGATACCAAGAATGTCTCCTAGCCAAGGCTTAAAGCATCTCTCTGTGAGGAAGAAAGGCTAGGGATGAGCCTCAGTAATAGAATGCTTGTCCAGCATGCACAAAGCCCTGGTCCCATCCTCAGTACTGAGAAACAAGCAAATCCACTTGCCACATGATGGTTTAAATGATGTTTACAAAAACATCAGAATAGGGTCTCTACAACCATGTACTTCTTCCTTCTCCTCCTCCCCCCACTGCCTTTGGCATCACTGGGGATTGAACTCAAGCCTTGAGTATGCTAGAAGTTTGCTCTACCATTAAACGGTAGCCCCATTCCTGCAGGCATCCTCTTCCAACACTCCTTCTCCTCACATGGCTTCTCTTGCTACCACCCCTACCAAGAGGAATGGGGGTTTCCTTGACCACGAACTTTTCTCTTTGGTGTCAAAATTTATCTCTACCTCTGTGACTTTCTACAGCCAGGACTGTCCCTCTCCCTCAACTTTTTAAATTGGTCTTCTTTTTACTGGCCCTAAAAGTGTTTTTACATGTGCTTACTCTAAATGAGATTTCAGGCAAAAAGTTTCCATAGATCATTGCTTTCTCCTTCATGAGGCTGAGGGATAAGAAAGGGCGCCCATTCCCTGTGTAGAAAGCAGTTGTATACAGTGACTAGGAAGGACACCCTATGGAGATGAGCTGGACAAAGACAGATAATTTAATCAAAGGTGCAGTTTTCAGGAGCTTGGGAAGTCCTCAAAGCCAAGACAGACTGCCCAACATTCAATGGAGGAAGGGGGGGAAAAAGGAAACACACACACACAAACACAAGCACACATACATGCACACACACACATACACGTGCATGCACGCGCGCGCAGACACACACTCAGAGACAGAGAGAGAGAGAGAGAGAGAGAGAGAGAGAAGTGGAAAGACAGAATGAGGAGTCTTGGCGCTAAAAATGGAGCAAGAACCGGAGGGAGATGGGAAGGGGAGCTTGGCAGAAAATAAGGGTCTTGGGTAGATGCAGTAGTCACGGAAGGCCCAGCAGACCCTGGTTTCTTGGCTGCCTCCCCCTCTTCCCGGCTGAAGCGGTGGGGGGAGCTCTCCCGAGCAGTGCGGAGGCCGCTAGGCCCCGCCCGCCGCCGCCGCAGCCGCAGCCGCCGGAGGATTCCTGTCCTAATATGGAGCTGGGATTCCCCCAGCCCCGCCCCCGCCCCCAGCCCGCCGGAGAGACTGGGGCTTGCAAGAGGGCGGGGGAACAGCTCGCCTTGGGGGCTGGCAAGCTGGAGAGGGTGCGGGGAGGCCCAAATGCAGACCCAGATCCTCACCAGGCCCTGGGTCCTTGCCTCAGTTTCCCCCACAGATGGCTAAGGTTAACTGATAAAGGAATGAAGAATCACTGCAGATCACAGAGGTGATGTTTGTGTTCCTGTGCTGCCCGGGTTATGTGGTCAAGGCCGAATTCAGCTGGTCTCTTCCCCCCAGGACCACCATTCCACTCTATCCTAGAGATTTAGACCCTCAGGCCAGGGCTTGGTGGGGAGGAGGGGATTATTTATTTGAAAGTGCTAAGGGCTTTCAGATTGAATAGACCCTAGAAAAGACCCCCAGATGTGACCTAACCCCTTCCCCAAAGCCAAGGAAAGTTTCTCATGTGACTTTGACCTTTGCCTGGCAAATAGGGGCAAATTCGCAGAAGACCCTTCCCCTCCCTATCCTTTGCCTCCTTAGAAAACTCAGTGTTGGTATCAGCCCGTCCTTGGCCTTCTACAAACTCTCTTGCCAAGGTCTTCTGACCACCCTAACCCTTGCACTATCCCTCCTCCCAATAGAATACAATAGGAATTCTGGGTCCCTGCACTCCCTGCCTGGCTCTGCACAGATCTCGCCAGCCGGCCCCCTCCGCAGCCTTCTTCTCCCCCCTCTCCTCCGCCCCCTCCCTCTCCTGTTCGACGTCACAAGATGACGTAGGAAGCCAGGGAGGGAGGAGGAGCGCCCCCCCTCCCCAGCCAGTGGCTCCCGCTGCAGCTTGCTTTAGCCCAGCCTCCCGCCTCCCGCTCCCCCCCCCCGTCTCTAAAACGAGCCCCCCACGCCTGCCAGGAGCTATATAAGGCGGATCGAGGCAGGCGAGGGGGGCAGCGCTGCCGAGCGGAGCCCAGGAGCGGAGCCTGGAGCGAGCGAGAGCCTGAGCGAAAGACCGGGAAGCAAGAAAGAAGCCTCCGGTGCATCGGGACAGGATCGCAGGTGTTCGGGAGCCGGAGCCGGAGCTCCACAGCCGGCAGTCATGTACCGATCCACCAAGGGCGCCTCCAAGGCGCGCCGCGACCAGATCAACGCCGAGATCCGGAACCTCAAGGAACTGCTGCCGTTGGCTGAAGCGGACAAGGTCCGGCTGTCCTACCTGCACATTATGAGTCTTGCCTGCATCTACACTCGCAAGGGTGTCTTCTTTGCTGGAGGTGAGCAAGCTTGGGCTACCAGAGACTATAGCTAACAGGGACCAGGGATGTAGGAGCTGAGGGAACGCGCTGAAATTGCCGCTTGTCTAGAACAGCGTAGTGGAAGACTGTGGAGAGAAGGGACTTGAGGGGACTCCAGACTTCCTACTTTTTCTCCTGAGCTCTGTCTAAACTAGCCTGACCGATGATGGTTCTAGCCAGATTTGTGGAATATGGAGAGCTAAAATAGAATGGTCTAGGTTCCCATTGCCTCAGAGGCACTTCAGGAATCCGGAGAGTGGACGGAAGGAAGCCTGGCAAGCTGCAGGAAAAGCCTGCAAAGGTGAAGTCTGGGGAGAGCAGCTTGATCTAGGATATGCTTAGAGGGTCTTTCTCCGCTCTGGGGTGCTGTCCGAGGTTCTGAAACCAGCACGCCCACCCGCCGCTGTCCGCGGTACTTAAAACGGCAGTCTTTTTCTGGGGAGTGCTGTCCGCGGTGCTGAACTCCAATCCCTTCGGGGGAGCTCTGTCCACAGTGCTGATCGCTCAGTGCTGCGGAGGTTCCCGCGGGGCTCGGAAGTCTGAGGGCTCCCTGGCTAGATAGTTTGAGCAACAGGTTTCTTGGCCAAAATCCACAAGCATAGGGTCAACAGGTGTTTTCAGAGCTAGTTCTGCTGCGAGAATTTCCTGTCTTCTCTGCAACTCAGATGATGCCCTCCTCATTTCTGTTTTGTACCCGAGTCTTACCCTGACTCACCAGATCTTTTCACCCTACAGGCACTCCTCTGGCTGGCCCCACGGGGCTTCTCTCAGCTCAAGAGCTTGAAGACATCGTGGCAGCACTACCTGGATTTCTGCTTGTGTTCACAGCTGAGGGGAAATTGCTATACCTGTCTGAAAGTGTGAGCGAGCATCTGGGCCATTCTATGGTGAGTACTGAAAGTCTTTGCATCTCGGGTTGTGGCATATGTGGGATAAAATGAGCTTTCCCTTACCAAGAAACTGAGAGTTCCTGGAGGTGTGAGGGGGTATTCTGCCCTGAGAAAAGCTATTGGTCACAGATTGGCTCTTACTGCCTTCACTAACGATCACCTCTTTTTTCATTCTTCTAGGTGGACCTGGTTGCCCAGGGTGACAGTATCTACGACATCATTGACCCTGCTGACCATCTCACTGTTCGCCAGCAGCTCACCATGCCCTCTGCTCTGGATGCTGGTACGGGCTTCTTCTCCACTCTCCAGCCCACCCCTCTGTCCCCCTGTGCCAACCGTCTACTTTTCCTCTGGTGCCCATTCTCTTAGTCACTTTTTCTTTTTGCTCACCTAGATCGTCTTTTCCGTTGCCGATTCAACACCTCCAAGTCCCTCCGGCGCCAGAGTGCAGGCAACAAACTGGTGCTTATTCGAGGTCGATTCCACGCTCACCCACCTGGAGCCTACTGGGCAGGAAACCCCGTGTTCACAGCTTTCTGTGCCCCACTGGAGCCAAGACCCCGCCCTGGCCCTGGCCCTGGCCCTGGCCCTGGTCCTGCTTCACTCTTCCTGGCCATGTTCCAGAGCCGGCATACTAAGGACCTGGCCCTACTGGACATCTCTGAAAGGTAAGCCCAGAGGTTCAAACTCCAGTAAGAAGGGAGGGCAGAAAGAAGGGCACCTTAGACTCTTGACCTTAGATTCAGGACAGGGAGGATGGGGCTTAAGTGGGCAGAGAACCTGGGAGGGAGTGAAGTGCATGCATCAAGTAAGAAAAACAGAAAGCTGACCTCACCCTTTCCACCTTCCCAGTGTCCTAATCTACCTGGGCTTTGAGCGCAGCGAACTGCTCTGTAAGTCATGGTATGGACTGCTACACCCTGAGGACCTGGCCCACGCTTCTTCTCAACACTACCGCCTGTGTGAGTGTCCTGAGAGACTGTGGATAACACAGGAAGCTGGGAGAAGGCATGGGACATAGGCCAGGAAGGGCTGTGCTCCACACTGATGTTGAGGAGACACTGAGCCCTGCAATTTTGAAGACTAGAGAGTCAATTTTGGGGTGAGAAGTCAAAGTAACATAGGACACAGCTAAGAAGCGTCGCTAAGGTCAAGGTGGGCAGCCTAGAGGTGCAGGTCAGGGTAGTAAGAGAGAAAATTCACACTTCCCTCAATCCAGTGTAGAGGTGAGAGAGGTGGGTGTGTCAGTGATGCTACTTGATGGGCTTGCTAACCCTGTATCTCTCTTTCTCCTCAGTGGCTGAAAATGGAGATATCCAGGCAGAAATGGTAGTGAGACTTCAAGCCAAGCACGGAGGCTGGGCATGGATTTACTGCATGCTGTACTCAGAAGGTCCAGAAGGCCCTCTTACTGCCAATAACTACCCTATCAGGTAAGGTGTAAGACACAGGACAGTGGAGAGGGGAGGAGGAGCTGAGATCAGCACGGAGAGAACGCAACTAAGAAAACGACTCTGATGATGGACAGCAAAGCCTTACGAGCCTCTGCTTCTTTCCTCTCCAGTGACACGGAAGCCTGGAGCCTCCGCCAGCAGCTAAACTCTGAAGACACCCAGGCTGCATATGTCCTAGGAACCCCAGCCGTCCTACCCTCATTCCCTGAGAATGTCTTCTCCCAGGAGCAGTGTTCTAACCCACTCTTTATGCCAGCTCTGGGACGCTCCAGAAGCACTACCTTCCCCAGGGCGCCTGAGCTAGGTGTGATCTCAACAGCAGAAGAGCTTCCCCAACCCTCCAAAGAGCTGGACTTCAGTTACTTGCCATTCCCTCCGAGGCCTGAGCCTTCTCTCCAAGCAGAGCTAAGCAAAGATTTGGTGTGTACTCCACCTTACACGCCCCATCAGCCAGGGGGCTGTGCTTTCCTCTTCAGTCTCCACGAACCATTCCAGACTCACCTGCCCACTCCATCCAGCTCTCTTCAAGAACAGCTGACGCCAAGCACCGTGACTTTCTCTGACCAGTTGACACCCAGCAGTGCAACCTTCCCAGACCCACTGACCAGTTCACTACAAGGACAGTTGAGCGAAACCTCAGTCAGAAGCTATGAAGACCAATTGGCTCCATGCACTTCTACCTTCCCAGACCAGCTACTTCCCAGCACTGCCACGTTCCCAGAACCTCTGGGGAGTCCCACCCATGAGCAGCTGACTCCTCCCAGCACCGCGTTCCAAGCACACCTGAACAGTCCCAGCCAAACCTTCCCAGAGCAACTGAGCCCCAACCCTACCAAGACTTACTTCACCCAGGAGGGATGCAGTTTTCTCTATGAGAAGTTGCCCCCAAGTCCTAGCAGCCCTGGTAATGGGGACTGCACACTCCTGGCCCTAGCTCAGCTCCGGGGTCCCCTCTCTGTGGATGTTCCCCTTGTGCCTGAAGGCCTGCTCACACCTGAGGCCTCTCCAGTCAAGCAAAGTTTCTTTCAGTACTCTGAGAAAGAGCAAAATGAGATAGATCGTCTCATCCAGCAGATCAGCCAATTGGCTCAGGGCATGGACAGACCCTTTTCAGCTGAGGCTGGCACCGGGGGGCTGGAGTCACTCGGAGGGTTGGAGCCCCTGAACCCCAACTTGTCCCTGTCAGGGGCTGGACCCCCTGTGCTTAGCCTGGATCTGAAGCCCTGGAAATGCCAGGAGCTGGACTTCCTGGTTGACCCTGACAATTTATTCCTGGAAGAGACGCCAGTGGAAGACATCTTCATGGATCTCTCTACTCCAGACCCCAATGGGGAATGGGGCTCAGGGGATCCTGAGACAGAGGTCCCAGGAGGGGCCCTGTCACCTTGCAACAACCTGTCCCCAGAAGACCACAGCTTCCTGGAGGACTTGGCCACCTATGAAACCGCCTTTGAGACAAGTGTCTCAACATTCCCCTACGAAGGGTTTGCTGATGAGTTGCATCAACTCCAGAGCCAAGTTCAAGACAGCTTCCATGAAGGTGAGTCCAGTCTCATGTCCAAGAGCACCTGTCCCTGTCCTTCCAGTCAGATGTTGGGCAGATTAGGTGAATCAGTCCCCACTCTCTGTTCCTCGGTTTTATTAAGTGGACAATATCATGTACCACTGAGGTGGGCAGTGAGGGCAAAGACAATGCAAATCCCTGTAAGGAGGATTAGTAGACCTGGCGGGCCAGAGGAGGTGATATGGGATAAAGTGATGGACAATCCTTAGGTAAAGCCTGAAAGTTTGTGAGGGAACTAGACTGGTCACCACCCCTATTTTATAGACAAAAATAATCAAGGCCCTAGAGTTAAGGAGCCTTTGTTTAAGCTATAGAAAAATTGATGAGAGCTAATGCTTCCTCTAAAGGAGATGGAGAGCAACAGCTGATGAAGGCTGGGGAAAGAAAGGACCGTGCCAAGCCCATAGCTCCATCCCAGTGGCCCTGTGCTGTCTAAAGCTGCAGCCACAGCTCCCTTCCGTCTGTCCGTATTGCCCCGATCTGCCGACTCTGGAGATCATTCCCTCATTTGGCAGATTCCTTTGAAGCCCAGAATGTATATCAACATTGCACACAGCCCGAGTCCTTCAAGGACCCTTTTTCCTAATAGGCTTGACTAATCTCTCTCTCTCTCTCTCTCTCTCTCTCTCTCTCTCTCTCTCTCTCTCTCCAGATGGAAGTGGAGGGGAACCAACGTTTTGAATAAGTCTGTGACTTAACGTCGTCAAGTATGGCATATTGTCATCAAGACGTGGAGCCGCTCTCCACCCCCCCGGGACTGTTGGGGGGATTCTGGGGGCCAGAGGGGGATGTATCTGATTCTCCAGGCCCTGAAGGACTTAGGGGGGAGGGGGGAGGGCAAGGGAGGGAGCAACTTTTTAAAATCAAGGGACTTCGAGCAATCCCAGTTTCCATTTCAATCTGTATTCACTCGTAGTGAGCTTCCTTGAATGGATTTCAAGCGGAGAATGGGGGAGTCTCACTTCCCCACCGCGCTGTCCCATGGGTCTGGGCCAGTTCTCCACTCCTAGAGGCCAAGCCACCTCTGGGTTTTCGTGGGGGAAAGGCATGGCCCACCAGGGGCTAGCCTGTGCCCTGAGGGGCTCTTGACACCCACGTAGAATTCTCTACAAAGCAGTAACGGGATTTCAATTCCGACGGACTCTGCCGCCCTGGCGGCCCTTCCTGTGACTTTTGCGCCCCGCGCCTGGGGTGGGGGGCGCGAAGAGACGCTACATTCCTTTCCGATGGAGGAAGGCAGATCTGCCGCCACACGTGTGCTTGCACGAGTGCGTGTACCTGGTGCAGGACTCACCCGGCCGCCAGACTGCCTGGGCTTGCCCAGGTGGCCACCTCGTGGTGCTGCGGTGACTTTGTAGCCAACTTTATAATAAAGTCCAGTTTGCCTTTTTGGTACCTCTGGTGTCCTGCACTTCTGTGAAAAGGGAAGGGTGGGGAGGAAAGAGCACAAGGAGCCCAGATGGGAGTCCTAGGGAGGGACACACGGGCTGACTCTCCTCTCAGTCCTTGGATCTCTTCATGAACTTGTTCATTTCTCCATTGACTCTCCATGCCCACACTGGGCTAGAAGACTGAGCATTTGTCCGAAGCAGAAGCTACACTGAAGACACTGGAGTCTTCTCTCTGTCCTGGGTTTTCAGTGTCCACAGTGTGATGGGGAGCAAAGGGCCTGGGGATAGACAAGAGGGCCCAGCTTGGCGTCGGTCCTGGATATGGGTTTCTGGTCTTCCGTCCTGACCTGGTAGGATACTGATTTCCTTGTGGAACCTTAGATCTTTAAATCTGAAGCTGTAGCATGCTAACCTCGCATAGGGCTTCTCAGTGAGCAAATATCTAAATCATTACAATAGAACTCCATTTCACTGATAAACCAACTAGATGATAGGCGCCTCCTCCCCACCCCAACACACACAGTTAGTGAGAGGTCAGGTGAGCAACATCTTGGCTGTTCTCTCAGCCCCAAAAGCCAGTGAATCACCACCTTAGGTCATCTCATCACAGACTCCCCAAGAAGGGCAGTGTTGGTTGGAGCAGGAGCCCAATAATCCTCTCCTTTGAACCCCTCCAATTCTGCAAAGTAGAGCAGAGTTGTAATATGTCAGTGGAGGAGAAAATGTCATAATAGGGTGTTCGACTCCAAACTCAAAGGCAAAATAGCCACAGGTATGGTTAGTGGCTGGCAAAGGAAAATTAGGAGGTAGAAAGACCCAGATTCATATCGCACTCTGACCTAAAGCTACCACCTTCTCACAGATACAGTGAGGGCAACAACAAGGACAGCAACCTAAAGACCCTGTCAGGACCGAACAAAAGTCTCTTCCAGCTCAAGAAGCACAGCAAAGACTCAAGTTGTTTTGACCTACAAGGGTGACCTGGAAATTTAGAGAGCTTCTTCTTCAAGGAAAGGACAACTCCAGGCTCTGATCTTTCCACAGAAACACAAAAGTCAGCTGGGCGCACGCCTTTAATCCCAGCACTCGGGAGGCAGAGACAGGTGGATCTCTGTGAGTTCAAGGCCAGCCTGGTCTACAAGAGCTAGTTCCAGGACAGGCTCCAAAGCTACAGAGAAACCCTGTCTCGAAAACAAAAAACAAAAACAAAACAAACAAAGAAAGAAAGAAAGAAAGAAAGACAAAAGTCCTAACCCCTTCTCATTCCAAAGCCCAGCTGCAGAGGCAGGCCCTTCAGAAAGTCCTTCCCTCACAGAAATGAAGATATTCACAGGGACCTGACACCCTTTCCCTCCTTTAATGAGTATTTGGTGGAGTCAAAAGCTGTACTATCGCTGGGCAGTGATGGCGCACGCCTTTAATCCCAGCACTTGGGAGGCAGAGGCAGTCGGATCTCTGTGAATTCGAGGTCAGCCTCGTCTACAAGAGCTAGTTCCAGGACAGGCTCCAAAGCTACAGAGAAACCCTTTCTGGAAAAAAAAAAAAAGCTGTACTATCATCCCCAAGAGGACCCTGTCTTAGTTCCCTCCTCACCACAGGGACAGTGAGGTGGCAAGATGGATAAAGGTGTTTGTGCCAAACATGATGATCTGCATTTAATCCATGATGGAAGGAGACAACTGACCCCTATAAACTGTCTTGGATTTCTAATGCACTCCAGAACACATGCAAGGCTGCGCACGCGCACACACACACACGCGCACACACACATAAACTTACATGCACACTGTACACATACTACATACACATCACACAACACTGTACACACATGCACATTACAAACACTACATATACTATTACAACTAATAACTAAAAACTTAAGAAATTAGGGTGTATTTAGGAAATGGAACAACTGGCAGCCGGTGACAATAGTGTATATTTTGTTTGTTGTATATTTCTTGTTTGTTTTGCCTCTGAGTTTTTTATTTGTTGTAACAGTCCCTGGAACTTGCTATATAGACCGGACTGGCCTTGAACTCATAAAGTTCCACCTACCTTTGCTTCCTGAGTACTGATTTGTCTTGGTTTTATTGTTGTTATTTTAAAATAAAGTTATAGACGCTTACTGTATTTACATCAGGGCCCACTTCCCAGAACCCCTTGTCTTTTGTTTGCTTGTCTGTTTTTTGAGACAGGGTTTCTCTCTTTTTTTTTTTTTTTTTTTGAATTTTCGAGACAGGGGTTTCTCCCTAGCTTTTGGTTCCTGTCCTGGAACTAGCTCTTGTAGACCACGCTGGCCTCAAACTCACAGAGATCTGCCTGCCTCTACATCCCGAGTGCTGGGATTAAAGGCGTGTGCCACCACTGCCCAGCCAGGGTTTCTCTTTTTTTTTTTTTTTTTTTTTTTTGAGACAGCATTTCATTCTTCAGCCCAGGCTAACCTGGAGTTCACTACGCAGTAGACCAAGTTGGCCTTGGACTTTTTACAAATCCCCCTGCCTCAGCCTCCCAGGTGGTAGGATTACAGATTTTAGCCATCACTCTTCTTATAACCCACCCTGAGGTTCAGCCTGACCACCCGGTCCTGAGGTGAGGAAAATAAAATAGAAGAGGCAATGTTGCCACCTGCTGGAAGGAGAAGTAGCTGCTCCTTCCCTGGCTGGTGAGGCCCCTGTGGCTGAGCATCATTACCTTAGAACAGACACACTGAACCCTCCTGGGGCGAGGAACTTCTGAATCTGAGAGTAACTGATGTTATGGGGACACAGTGCATGAGAGAAGGTGTCTTAGTGACTCTTCTAATGATGTAAGGAGACATCATGACCAAGGAAACTTATAAAATTAAGTATTTAGTTGGGGACTAGCTCAGAGTTACAAGCCATGATTATCACCGCTCAAAGAGTGGCATCAGGCAGGCAGGCAGGCATGGCGCTGGAGAAGCAGCTGAGAGTTTACATCTGATCCACAAGACAGAGGCAGAGAGAAACCTCACAGTCAAGCCCATGCCCAGTGTTAGGGTTTCTACTGCTGTGAAGAGACACCATGACCACAGCAATTTTTTATAAAGGAAAACGTTTAATTGGGTGGCATAAGCTTCAGAGACTTGGTCCATTACCGTCATGGAGGGACCATGGTGGCATGCAGGCAGGCATGGTGCTGAAGACAACTGAGAGTCCTACATCTTGACTTGCAGGCAACAGGAAGTGATCTGAAACACTGAGCGTGGCTTGAGCATATATGAGACCTCAAATCCCGACTCCACAGTGACACACTTCCTCCAACAATGCCATACCTACTCCAACAAAGCCAAATCTCCTAATAATGCCACTCCCTGAGTTTATGGAGGTCTATTACATTCAAACTACCACATTCCACTCGCCAGCCCCCATAAGCTTGTAACAATATCATAATGCAAAAATGCATTTAGTTTAACTTCAAAAGTCCTTATAGTCTGTCACAGCCTCAACAATGTTTAAACGTCCGAAGTTCAAAGTCTCTTCTGAGATTCATGCAACCTCTTAATTGTAATCTCCTTTAAAATAAAAAGATCACATACTTCCTACATGTAATGGCATATAACATACATTACCAGTCCAAAACAGAGGGAAGGAAATACTGGACCAAAAACCAGCTGGGAAAACTCCAAACTCTGCATCTCCATGTTGGGTGTCAGAACAGTCTTCAGATCTCCAATTCCTTATAACTTTGCTGACTGCAACAAACCTCTCTCTTGGGCTGGTTCCACCCCTATTACCAGCTCTCCTCGGCAGGTACCCCATGGCTCTGGCAACTCCAGTATCTTGGGATCTCCAAGGCAATTCAGGCTTCACCTTCACAGCTTCACCCAATGGCCTTCATTCAGGGACACCCCTGAATCATGCCTGGTCTCAGAGTCTTCCCTTAGACTTGGAGGCAAGTTCTATAACCCGTTTCTTAATTCCACAGCTGTGTGGCCAAAGCTGCCAGGTTCTGCTGCTCACTGGGGCTGCGATATGGTCCTCCGTTCAGTTACATCTTCACCAACTTTCTGCTTTCGATGATTTCCTCACTGCCTAAGTTTGGCTGTCCTGAAACTGGATCTGTAGTCCAGGCTGACCTTGAATTCAGAGATCTTTCAATTATACTCACCAGCTTTCTGTTTCTCTCACTCCTTAAGCCTGGCTGTCCTGGAACTCACTCTGTAGACTAGGCTGGCCTCAAACTCAGAGATCTGCCTACCTCTGCCTCTGGAGTGCTGTGATTAAAAGCATGCACCACTATACCCAACTCTAAGCTTTCATTCCTTTTCACAAGTTGGAAATTTAGTTGAGGGGGATATCGCCCTGAGGTCACTACTTCCTATATTCCTTTTCTTAATCTGTTTATCTTCTTGAACATAGGACTTAGTTCCATTCTA